GCAATTAGAGATTGGCCAACACCCCGCACGTTGACAGAGTTGCGGTCGTTCCTAGGCCTAGCTAACTATTATAGGAAGTTCGTCAGGAACTTCTCTACCATCGCTGCACCCCTTCGCAGGTTGCTGAAGAAAGAAGCAATCTGGAAATGAGGCAAGGACTGTACATCAACCCTGAAGAAGCTAAATCAGGCTTTGATAGAGTACCTAGTCCTTAAGGTAGCCGATCCGTCCCTGCCTTCTGTTGTTACCACTGACGCAAGTCAGTATGGCATAGGTGTTGTTTTACAACAAGACGATGGTAATGGATATAGGCCAGTAGAGTTCATGTCTGCCTGGATGCCTTCAGAGAAGGTAGCGACATCCACCTATGAGAGGGAACTCTACGCTCTCAGGCAAGCATTAGAGCACTGGAAGCATAACTTGCTTGGGAGGCACTTCAAAGTCTACTTAGACCATGAGACACTAAGGTGGTTGAAGACACAGGCCAAGATGGCACCTAAGCTTACCAGGTGGGTCGCAGAGCTAGATGAGTATGACTTCGAGCTTAAGCCAATCAAGGGGAAGTACAATGTAGTTGCGGACGCTCTAAGTAGGAGAGCTGATTACTTTGGNATGACTTCGAGCTTAAGCCAATCAAGGGGAAGTACAATGTAGTTGCGGACGCTCTAAGTAGGAGAGCTGATTACTTTGGGGCGATAGTTCACTATTTGGATATAGGGAGAGACCTGCAGCAGAAAGTTAGAGAAGCGTATGCACAGGACCCTATCTATAGTGACCTCCTCAAGAGAGTTAGGGAGTCCCCAGAGTCCGAACCAGACTACCACTACTGATGGATTACTATTTGAGAAGAATAATGTAGTTGACCGTCTGTGCGTTCCTAACAGTGAGGAGATCCGTAGTTTGATCTTAGGGGAATGCCACGACACAGAGGGACACTTCGGTTGGCAAAAGACACTAGCTAACCTCACGCGCGTATATCTAGCCTGGAATGAAGGCCGACTGCATACAGTATGTACGCAGTTGTAAAGTTTGTCAAAGAAACAAGACTACTACGCGAGCCCCTTTTGGTCTTCTCAGACCCTTGCCTATTCCTGACAGACCCGGAGATTCTGTGTCCATTGACTTTATGGATGCTGGGGTCAAGAGTAGGCATGGCAAAAGTCAAGTCATGGTTATAGTAGATAGATTTAGCAAATATGCAGTTTCTATTCCTTTGCCTGCAGAGGCACGCACAAATTTAGTAGTTCAGAAGTTCTTTGATCATTCGGTCAGTGAGCATGGTATACCGCTATCGATAGTTAGTGACAAAGATACCAGGTTCACCAGTCAGAACTGGCAGGAACTAATGAGAGTTTATGGTTCCAAGTTGTTGATGTCATCTGGCCGTCATCCAGAGACTAACGGTCAGACTGAACAGATGAACAAGCTCCTGCAACAAGTTCTTAGAATGTATATTAGGCCCGGCCATATTAACTGGGATGAGATAGCCAGTGCATACAATAACAACGTGCACTTGTCCACATGTCGCACTCCCAACGAACTGCACAAGTCCTTCAGACCGCGCAAACCATTTGAGGGACTTAACCGGGACCAGATTCAGAGACTACCGCCCGATACATGAGAGTTTTCGATACAGCACGAAAAAGAGATAGCTACCGTTGTAGATAACCTCAGGAAAGCCCAACACAGAATGATAGAGCAAGCTAACAAACACCGTCGCCCCTCACAGTTTCAAGTAGGCGACTTGGTCTGGGTCAAGTCAAAAGAGTTCGCTCTTGAGGATAACATCTCACAAAAGTTACTGCCTGCATATAGGGGACTGTGGCCAGTCTTAGAGCTTAAGGGCGGAGAGGATGGGCCGTCCTACACTATTGAGATTCCAGCACACCTCCACACCTACCCATTATTTCATGCCTCAAAGTTGTTGCCTTGCATCACAAGTCAACAGTTTTCATCACGTAGATCGATGATTACCCTAAGTATGGATGGAAGATACACAATTGATGGTATAGTAGGTGAAGACGTCTTCAGGACAGGAGGTAGAGGTCGTCCACAGAAACAGTACAAAGTCAGATTTTCCTTTCAAGAGCCAGAAGACAACCGCTGGTTCACACGAACAGAACTTCTAGAGACAGCTTCCGACCTAGTCAGAGCATACGAAAGAGACAAGAAAGGTAAAGGTCCTGCCTTAGACTGAAGTATTCTCGGAGGACCTCGAATTTAGGCCAGCGGGAGTGAAACGATTTTCACCCTCTGCAGTCACAGATGCGGGCCCTAGGGTTCGATCCCCAGACCTCACCTTACCCATGTACAGTATCGAGTTGACCCCGAGTGTTTGAACCCGTGACCTGTGTTTCTATAGTTGTTTGTTTGTCTATCGTAGGTCTGTGTAGATGTAGGGGTTCGATCTGTAGGTCTGTCAAATAGGGGTCATAGTTGTGTAGAGGTCGAAACTGCTAGGTTAGAGGTCTGTAGGTGAGTCGCAGGTCCAACTGCGTTGAGTCAACAGTGCAACCTCATGCAGTCGAAGTTGCCAGTCCCATTCCTACCGAGTCCGGTCCAGCAAGTACCGTGTGGGACTGTGCACACCCAGGGCCTGGTGGAAAGGGGCAGACCAGCGGCAAACAGGAATATAAATCAAGAGCAGCGCCCAACAATTCATTCATTCGTTGTATAAGCCATGCGGAAGTGCTGCTACAGCGTCTTGTGCGAAGGTGGTCTGCAGGTTGCCCCAAGACGAAGTGGGCTGAAGAGCGATATCGTAGCCATAGTCAGTATGGGTAGAGCGGCCATAGCCGCGATAGGAGGAAGGTAGGATTGGTGTGTGTGGTGGTATTCAGGGTGATCCAGAGTGGAGTTGAGTATTTGCGAACAGTGGTGTTGAACGCAGTGACGAGAGTGGGGATTGTGTGGGCGCTGATGCGCCATAGCTTATTGAAGCGAGTTTTGCATCTGAATTGTGTTCTCGTTATCCATATCTCTGAGCTTTGAGTAGGCGCGCTGCGCCAGTGTGAATAGCCATTTGTTTGCATGTTTGCGAAGTGGAAAGAAAGTGAGTCTGATTGCATCCCGATCGTCTGCTGATCCTTTTTTCTTAGAAGTTGAAGAGTCGCCACGGCCAGTACAGGTCCCGAACGCCAGTACCGGCACCATGCTTGGTATCGGGCCCGCGCACCAGAGCCAGTACCACACAAGGTACTGGGCCCCCCGCGCTAGCACTGGTACTGTCGGAACGTTGCCGGGCCAGCGCCAAGTGCCCGCACATAACAAACTTCTTCTGTATTGGAGGCGATGCGGGAAAAACCGCCCCCACACCGCGCCTGCCCTCCAATCGACTTCGGCTTTTCATACCCTAGGCTACAACGCTTGACTTTGACTGACTTCTACGCTGCTATGCACCACTACGACTTCGCTCTACGTTGGACACACACACACTCGCACACGCACACTCGCACACGCACACTCGCACACGCACACTCGCACACGCACACTTGCATACGCACACACACACACACACGCACACACACGCACACACACGCACGCATGCACGCAAGCACACACACACGCACGGACGCACATGCACACACACACAACACACACACGCAAACCTGGTGAGTCCTCGGCCATCAGTACAGTTCATCTCGGGCGGACTGTCGGGGTTCAACCTCCTGATGTGGAAGTCCGACGAAACAGTCTGGCCGAGTCATTTTGTGAGTTCGGTATAGCAAACATAACAACACTCACACATACTCAGACTCACCCACACAGAACACACACACCCACACACACGCACACACACATACACACACACACACACTCACCCAGGACAGACCATCTCTACATACTGAATGCTGGACGTTGAGGCTTGAGCTGTGCAGCGTCAAGGCCTTCGAACGACCGCACCTTAATGACTGACGGTAAGTTTGTTATTCGTTTCTGTTGCTTTCGTTTTTTGTGGTCTTGGAACTATGAGAGAGAGAGAGTGCGCGCACGTGTGTGTGTGTGTGTGTGTGTGTGTGTGTATAAAAATCAGATCCCACGGCAAATCCATGCCATGCACCCCACCACCACAGTGGTACACTAGGCCCTGGTCATGTCCAAACTAACGCTCTCCGCTGCCGCTTTCCTTCTCTGAGGCTACCTCATAGTACATCCGCAGCTTATCATGACCAGCTTTCCTAGAGTCCCACATACGATGGAGGGCATGGGGGAGGCCGGAGGGCACCAGACGACATGCCAACACACCAAACAGGCAAACCAAAAAAACTGAAGTCACCAAAGAAACAAGACCGAAAAAAACAAAAACTGATGATAACAAGATTGTTTCGTCGGAGTTGCACCGACTCATCAGGAGGCTGAACCCTCGACAATCCGCGGAATTCCCGTATTTGATGGTTTGGGTCATGAACCCTTTGACCCATGTTGAAGGCAGACTGTCCCCAAGCGGGACATAGCAGCGGGCAGCAACCCTGTGGCGCACGAGGCAACACAGTAGAGGCAGCCCAACTGCTTATCACCAAAGACGACTGCAAGGAACGACAGGGCAAGCGGACGAGCAGCTGGGAAACTGTGCGGTGATGCGCAAGGCAACATCAGCAAGGCGACCGGACTACAAGGCACGCAAGCAAGTAAAGGATGCGGAAGGCCAACAGGGCAAGCAGACGAGCAGCTCGACAACCGTGCAGTGAAGCACAAGGCACCACCAACAAGGCAACCAAACTACAAGGCATGCACACAAAGGGCACTGAAGGCCGACAGGGCACACAGACAAGCAGCTCAGCAACCGTGCAGCGAAGCGCGAGGCACCGCCACAAGGCTACCAAACCACAAGGCACGCGAGCAAAAGGCACGGGAGGCACGACCCGTGGGTAGGCGGCAAGGCATCAAAGCAGCGAGGACGACCTGCAAAGCAAGCGGCACGGGCAGCAAGACCGCGGCAGAGCGCAGACAAGACTGTCTACACATCCAACACGGAGCAAAGCAGCACATGACCTACTCACATCACAATAGAACCCCGTAGACTGTTGGTTCCCACCACCCGCTGAGCCAGGGGAACACTCCGACGACCATCCGTCATCACCGACAGGCAACACAGACATCCCGAACCGAGCGGCCCCCCTAAGAGTGCAGTTGGCACTCCAAACGAGAACCAGTTTGGCACTGCTAGAGGGTGCTCGGCTAGAGACACAAAAAACACTTAGAAAAAATAGGAGAAAGAGGAAAAACAAGCATACCTAAAACTGATTGTGTGTGTGTGTGTGTGTGTGTGTGTG